AGTGGTCCGTCTGGATATGTCGGCTCCCGTCCCTCACCACCCGGCCTCCCAATTGTGGGCCTGGCCGAACCCATAATGGGCTCGCTAAAATGAGGCCTTCTTAGTGCCGACAGGATGGAAAGAGTTGAAAAATGAAAAAATAATAATAATTAATGTTGAAAGTTTGATATTTATTAAAATTTATGTTATACATTAAAATTTCTACTAATTAAGCCAACTTATTTTTATTATTGTGAGGCTGGGGCCTCACCCCTTCCTGACAGAAAACTGGCTGTCGAGTTAAAACCAATAAATCGGTGACTTATTTCGTAAACAGGACCGTTGTTGCCAAGGAACGGGTTGCGAGACGATTTATTTGTCGCATTCCAGACCTAATTGACAGATGGATCTCCCGACGGGGTAACTTCGGACGGTTACTTTATAGAGAGTTTAAAGCAGGACCTGTTGACACTCCTGTGGAGAGGACAGAAAAATACACATTAGAGTATAATTTACGGGGCCTTCATCCGAGGAAGGGCTTAACCCAACTCTAAAGGGGAACAGCCCGGATGAGGATGTTTGGCGACCCCGCGGTCCTAATCGCGTCCCTGGCAATAGACCAGGAACCAATAGAATTACAAGGACCAATGAAAACCTCGGGATTTCGTGTAAAAATGATATAAAAGCCCGAAATCTCAAGAACACGGGAAGTTGCAAGCTGGAAATCGAGAACGACCGTTCCAGAGACCGGACCCGGATTATCCAAGAAGAGGACGGAAGGGACTAGGGACCCGACCTCCCAGTGCCAACTTTTCCATCCCTCCAATCTCCAATTCTCTACCCATGACCTTCGGAAACGAACTTTTTCCGTTTTTTTTTTATTTGTGTGTTCAGCGCCACTTTCCTGTAAGCCCAGAAATTTGACAATGGTGTTTGGATAGTCAGTGGAATCATGCTCGACATTCCAAACAGCATTGTCAAACTTCTAGGCTTACGGGAAAGCGGCGCTGAACGTCCGACGTACACGTTTTCGCGTTTAAAAGTTCGGCCTCAACCTCACTAATATCTCAGGATGAGGTAAAGATCAAGAAACGAAATTTTTTACTCGTGTATAGAGGCATTGATGCTAACTTATTCAATTTTGGTGATCAAAGATGGAGGGGATGAGGAGATGAAGAAGGTCGTGTCTCATATCTCGAGTAGGTTCGAACTTAATGAAGATTCTACTCGTTATTAGAATCTACAATTTTTGTTATAAAACACATCCTTACTCTTAAAATTACAGAGGGCACCGAACAAAATTTAATATAATTTATTATGATTAATTAAATTTGTTTTTTAAAGAAAATTTCACCATAGTCGGGAAAGTGACGTAACTCATTTGTGATTTTTTTAAAATTAATTCTTAATAAGTAAAATATAATTCAATTGTCGCAAAATAATTTATTGAAATGAATATTGTTGGAAAGATTGACAGTAAAACAAATTCAAAATTCAAAATTGACGCCATCGAACTCACGTGAGTTCGGCTCAGCGCTATTTTTGAATTTGGTGACAAAATTCGATAGGAATTATGTGGGAAATATCAACCGAAAGGACTGAATGGAGTTATCTGAAAACAGAAGACTGGTGTGACGTCGGTATAGACACTCTTCGAGAGCTAACTTTGAAGAAATGTCTGAAGAGATACGACGAATTTAACATTCTTCTGGTTGGAAAATTAAGCTTACGCTAGTGTACCCTGCTTAACTCTCCTTTTAAAGTTTGTATCAGTGGCAAAAGTTGCTGGAAACACGATTTAATTATTACCTGATCCAGAAATATTAAACGAAATAGACGTCAACACACACATACACGAGATTTGCAAAGAAGTGAAGTTTACGAAAAAGAACAGAAATTAAATGCATTAGCCATCTGAAGAAGAAGGGAGTTCGGTTTGATTCAAACGTTTCTCGGTTTGATCTCACAGTTACAGACACATCCGGCCATCAAATTAACAACGAAAACTGTTGACTCCCTATTCTAAAATATAATAAATATACACGAGCAATGAGAAAAGTATTTGGAAGAAGAATGTGTAGCTCGTAAGAAGACCATAACGGGTACAAGAGCTCACTGCTGCGTCTACTTCGTTTCTCCTGGTCGCTGGCTGACTCCTCTGGATATTAAATGCATGAAGAGATGGGAAAATCATCGTCCTTTTTCCGTCATAACAAAGAGTGACAGTATAACGCCGGATGAGAAAATAGCCTTCGAGAAAGTTATTAGAAAATGCTTAGAAGAGAACGGAATAGTCGTTTACCCCGTGAAAGACATCGAAGAAACTCGAGAAGATAAGACGATCAACGATCAAATAAGGTCCAAAAATACTCTGCTGTAGTAGGGAAGGAGAAACATCACGAAATCGATGGAAATAAACTGTACCGACGGATGAAACGTTGAGGTTTCGTAGACATCGAAAAGAAAGAGCATTCCGAATTATCGGACCTCAGAGATATGCTAATAAAGACTCATATGATTGTTTGTTTGTTAAATTGTGGCAACGCAACACTTGGGCGATCTGCTTAGGGGATGCCTTCCGAGAGGTCTTTTTTTAAGGATTAACTGGCTCCTATTCAGACGTTACGGACGTGGAAAAATCTCTACGTGGCCAGCCCGTCCTGGCCAGGCGCGAACTCACGACCCAGTTCCCAGTGTTCGGGGGACGGAACCACTTAGTCACTGGTGGGCCCTCGTATCATTGATATGATCGAAGTTACCAGATTATTTTTCTACGAAAAATTTCGTCGCGATGCCCTTAAAGCCAAAAAAAAAAAAAAAAAATGAAAGATTCAAAATAGCAAACAGGCAGAAGAAAAGAAAGCTGCAGCTCTGGGTTTCGTTTGACGTTTAAGAACTTCTGGCCTAGAAGATAAAGCCCCAGTAGCTGATAGTAACCAAGCATCATGTGATGAAGCGTGATTCTCGAGTGGGAACAGCCATGACTCATGGCCCATGAGTCATATGACTCATATTGATAAAAGCTCTTATTCGTCACTGAAACTCTACCAACCAACATAGACTTTAAATTTTCTCCCTAAACTCTATTTTTCCCTAAATTTTCCTCCATCTTTCTAAATTTAGGAGAAAACCCTTAAGTTGGCTTCTCTGTTAATACCGAGAGTCGACTCATCGCTACTGATGTGTCGGCTCATTTAATGGCCTCTTGGCCAATGAATCAGTGAGTCATTAGCACGTGGTTGTAATATATCCCAGGGTAAGGGCGTGTTTCATACAAATTGTTATCGATCACGACCATTTACGAAATAACATTTTACGTATAGTTAAAGTTTAGCCAACTGGACGGAACTGATGAAATTTAAAGTATAATTACATCAGTTACTTTAATTAATTAATGAAACTTCGATTTTAGAAGTTACTTTTAAGTGCTTTGTATATACATGCGTATATAAACTAAGGGCCTTTTATTTGTAGTTTTAGGCTCTTTACCAATCAGAGAGCACAAAAGGGGGCCATAAACTAAGGGCCTAAAAGTAACTTCTACCAAATTTTGTACATATTCTTAAAATTACTTATGAGTNATATACATGCGTATATAAACTAAGGGCCTTTTATTTGTAGTTTTAGGCTCTTTACCAATCAGAGAGCACAAAAGGGGGCCATAAACTAAGGGCCTAAAAGTAACTTCTACCAAATTTTGTATTCTTAAAATTACTTATGAGTATTTAATATTGATTATTTAATAAGTTATTGAATGTAATCATTGTATTTTACCCTTAATTTTCTACAAATTATACATTTATTACTATTTAATAAATTGTATTCAGAATTCAATTTAATTAAGCGTTTTATATTTCACAATATTTCAAATATTTTGAAATATTGTTTTTAGTTTTGTTTCAGTATATTATTTCAAAATTAATGCACAGAGTGAACACAAAGTTCTTACATATGATAAATCAGAAGTTCTAATTACAGTATCTGCCTAACTATATTCCCCAAACAACTTTTTCCCATGTTTTTCTGGTAAACTTCTGTGTTAATGGTTTGTAATTATTAAATTTAAAATAATTCCTGATATCTGTTTTTAAAAGTTTTTGACTGTTTTAATGTAGAATTGAGAAATTTTCTCTTTCACAATACCCTAAAGTACATTGCCACATGTTAAATCTGGATTACAAGGAAGCAAAGTCATATTGAATCCATATCCAATAAATGTCCTGCTAATTTGGACAATCTCCAGCTATAGAACTTTGTGGTCACTCTAAAGTACAAGAAAATATTTCTTTAATGGTATGTAAAATATTTATAATTGATTTATTTGAAAAGATTTAATTATTCATTTAATCAAAAGTTATATTTAATTTATTATACTGTATATAATTAAAAAGAAATGATAACCTTATTAAAGTTGGTGATGATAAACTGCAATTTAAATTTAATATATTATTAATAAATAATGGTTAAATATTTAATATAATATTTAACCATTATAAAGTGAATAATATACAATACAAAAACAATATCAGTTTTTATACAATGACAAAATTTTTAAAATTATAATTGCTTTTTAACGTTAACCAGTATTGAAGCAAGCAATTAATTGAATTATNTATATACATGCGTATATAAACTAAGGGCCTTTTATTTGTAGTTTTAGGCTCTTTACCAATCAGAGAGCACAAAAGGGGGCCATAAACTAAGGGCCTTTTATTTGTAGTTTTAGGCTCTTTACCAATCAGAGAGCACAAAAGGGGGCCATAAACTAAGGGCCTAAAAGTAACTTCTACCAAATTTTGTACATATTCTTAAAATTACTTATGAGTATTTAATATTGATTATTTAATAAGTTATTGAATGTAATCATTGTATTTTACCCTTAATTTTCTACAAATTATACATTTATTACTATTTAATAAATTGTATTCAGAATTCAATTTAATTAAGCGTTTTATATTTCACAATATTTCAAATATTTTGAAATATTGTTTTTAGTTTTGTTTCAGTATATTATTTCAAAATTAATGCACAGAGTGAACACAAAGTTCTTACATATGATAAATCAGAAGTTCTAATTACAGTATCTGCCTAACTATATTCCCCAAACAACTTTTTCCCATGTTTTTCTGGTAAACTTCTATGTTAATGGTTTGTAATTATTAAATTTAAAATAATTCCTGATATCTGTTTTTAAAAGTTTTTGACTGTTTTAATGTAGAATTGAGAAATTTTCTCTTTCACAATACCCTAAAGTACATTGCCACATGTTAAATCTGGATTACAAGGAAGCAAAGTCATATTGAATCCATATCCAATAAATGTCCTGCTAATTTGGACAATCTCCAGCTATAGAACTTTGTGGTCACTCTAAAGTACAAGAAAATATTTCTTTAATGGTATGTAAAATATTTATAATTGATTTATTTGAAAAGATTTAATTATTCATTTAATCAAAAGTTATATTTAATTTATTATACTGTATATAATTAAAAAGAAATGATAACCTTATTAAAGTTGGTGATGATAAACTGCAATTTAAATTTAATATATTATTAATAAATAATGGTTAAATATTTAATATAATATTTAACCATTATAAAGTGAATAATATACAATACAAAAACAATATCAGTTTTTATACAATGACAAAATTTTTAAAATTATAATTGCTTTTTAACGTTAACCAGTATTGAAGCAAGCAATTAATTGAATTATTTTAAAAATAATACTTAAATTGTTTTTAATTTTAATAATAATTATATATATATTTCATTCAGTAATTGTGCCATAAACAAATTTTGTGGATTTCAACTTGAAAATTTTATTCTTCTGTAAAGGTAAAAATACTTTATCTATTTTTTTAGTTTTAATCACAATTGATAAGCATTTTGAATCTCCAGTCTTAATGTTATTTTAATATCTTTATTCTATTATCATGCACAAAATAATATACTTTTATGTTAATAAAACTTGTTATAAAAACTGTTTTTATTATACAGTGGTACCTCAGGTTACGAACGCCCCAGCGTATGAAATTTTCAGGATACGACATGAAATTTGAACATATTTTTGCTCCACGATACGAACAAAAACTCACCATACGACGTTACATTAGTTCGCATTTTTCATTTGTTTTTCTTACTACAGTTATTTTTTTAAATGTATTACTTGGCTTTAATTTGAGTATGTTTTTCGCGTTGGAATGAATTATTTGGTTTTACGTGTAATCGTATGGGGAAAAATGATTCACCTTACGACATTTTCATGATACGATCTCAGTTTCGGAACGGATTAATTTTGTATCCTGAGGTACCACTGTAAATATACTTAATGAAAACATGATCATTGAACTTCAACAATTTCAGTAATATACACTGGTGTCCAAAATTGAAACACAAGCACAAAACCTGTGTAAATCAACGTGAATAGCTGAAACTTATGTTGTACATAAATCAGCAAAGCGCCAACCTATCATACAGGTGTTGTAAAAATGAGACCCGATATCAGTGCACTTTTTTGGCAAAATGTAATGCACTATATGTACAGTGACATTGTTTCCAACAGTCATCTGCTAGTAATATCATCAGTGAGTAAATGCTCCTGATACTCAGTAACTTACCAGGCATACCTCAGAGAGGGCACTAGATGATTCATTGCAATGGAGGGCTGTTCATTTTCTGCATTTTTGCTGTGTATATATTCGTATGTTACTTTAATTTTGGACATGAGTATATTTTTATGTTAATAAAACTTACAAATTTGTGCACAATATCAGAATGGAAATAACATTAGACTATTTCATTGATAATTGGAGACAGTAAATGTATCCAATTATCAATGTTTTGTTTTTGTCTTTCTCTCTAAATTGGATATATTTTTGTGGAATCACTAGTGTCCAATTTAGACAGGTTTTACTATAATTATTTTAATTAATGAGCATATTATCATTCAGCAGTTTTCAAATAATTGGTTAATTATAAGATATAATTTTATTATCAATAAAGTCTTTTACATTTCTTTTGGGGAATCAAATAATAAAATACTTTTAACTTTAAATTTAATGATACTATAAGTAGTAATATCTGCTTTTAGAATCTCTTAAGATGATCAAGTACTTAGCTAATTTTTTTTAAAAGTATTTTTCTACTTGTTTCAATGATTATTGTTATAGATTTCTAAACTAGCCACAAAACAGAAAGGATAAAAAGTGGAATAAAAATTGGAGGTTAGTTTCAAAATCAGCCATATTCACAGCCCTTCCAGACCCAGAAAATGTGGCCATTGGCCATTGTTGAAACTATATGCCTCATATATAATAATGTGTCAAGTTATTAAACAACCAGACCTCATACTGTTATGTTTTTGAAATTATGAAAAATTTTGAAATAGATGAATCACTGAATGATATAATTATTTATAAGCTATTGAACATCTATAATAGTAATATGCTGTTTAGAAAATTATCAGTTGATAATTTTCAATTAATTTAATTTGCTCAGTATCTGTAGTTAAGATAATTTGATGTACTATTACATAAAACTGAACTCTGAACTGCCTAAAATTATCTGAAAATATAACATAAATTTTAAAAAATCTTTATTTTTAATTTAATTTAATTTAATTTATCTTTATTTAAATTTATATTCTTATCATCAGAATTATAATTTTCAATTAAAAAAAAAATCTGTGATAAATAAATCTTAATGCATAAACTGTACTATTACTAAAAAAGTTGACATCACATTTGTTATTAAGAAAACATTTCAAATGTAAATTTCATTTAAACTATTTTTATCAGATGGAAACTATGGAAACATTAGAAAACTCATGTACTTTCAGACTTTACACCAGGAGTTTCCAATCTTTTTCTTGTATTGTCCCCATATACAAAATACTCTTTTCAACTGATCCCTTTAAATTTTTATTTTTCAAGATTTTGCATAATATATCAAGTAAATTATTAAATTAGTTAATTAATTTTCCACATGATTGTTATTATTCTTATTTGCAAATTATCTGAAATTCTTGAAAAAAGTACATGTATCTGATTTTCTCGTTGACCCCTAGTTGACTCCCTGAGTTCCATCAACCACTTTCAAAATTTCATTGACCCCCAAGGGATCTATACCAACCCCATTGGAAATCCCTGCTTCACACACAAATCTTATTAGCAGTCAATAGGAAAAATAAAAATCAAATAGTAAGGGGCTATCCATAAATGATTTCCACACTGGAAAGGAGAAGTCGAGCTTTGGTGAACCTAATTTTATTTCATTAAACTTTATACAGTTTATGCATTTTATTGTATTATAAACAAAACATTATTCTGGGTTTTTATACGGTATTGCCAATTCGGTAGTCCCCGGTTATATGGCTTATTCGGATATATCGTGCTTTTTTGTCTTCCAAAAGTAGAAGCACTTTATCCAATGGTTGGCATGGAGGCTATCACTGTACATATTTATTTCAAAATTTCTTTATGTTTCATTTGTACTTGTGGTATCTATCATTAATAAAGTGATAAAGGATTTAAGGGGGTTGAGTTTTGTTGGATGTCCGAAATGGGAGTTTATGGAAACTGGGACAAGAAAGGAAAAGTAAAAATTTCAAGAAAAATGCAAACACAATTTATGGACAACCCCTAAGCTGGTGTCTTTTCTGAATTTTTCTATCTGTTGTGGACACCTGATAATTAATATAAGGCATAAAAGAACTTGAATTTTCTAAAAAAAAGTTTAGCACTAAGAAAACAAATTTGAATTATTAAAACAAAAAACACAGTTAACTATTGAACATATATGTTTCTTCTTATCAGTTGACTGATGAGATGCTATATGCCCGAAATGTGTAAAAGTACCCGTATCAACTGAATAAAGAGGAAAAACGCCAAGTGTTTTAATAATAACACAGTCTTGTGTTCAATAGTTAATAAATAAGAAAACACGGTTTCAAAAAAACGAAAAAACACAGTATGTTTGCATCAGGTAATTATTATATCCTTCATTAAACTGAAATGCTCTTATTATTTTAGCTTTAAATTTAAAGTAAAATATTTAGAAATTTTTTTTTTTTTTTTTTACAAGGAAACATTATAATTTTTTATTAAATTTTGTATCATATTATCACATCCATTGACAATAATAATTACAAAATTTTCAGATATTTGTTTAATTTAAATAATGTATTTTTCATTTTACTGTAAAAATATAGCATTTTTGTAAGAGTTAAAATGATAAGTGAGAAATATTTTTAAACACAATATAAACAAATTGAAAATGAAATTATTAAATCTCTGTTGCTATATTTCTATAGGAAAAGTCAGATTTTTATTAAAAAAATTAATTTATAAAAATTTTTCAAACATCTCAAATTAAATAATACATTTTTAATTAATTGAACAAGCCAAATTTATTATTATATAAATGAGTTCAAAGCCATTCAGCTTCAATTTCATACACAGTCAAACTTTGATTTTGACATAGGACTAAATTAATTAAGCAAGGTTCTGAACTTAAATACCTCAAATAATAAGAATCAAACATAATAATGGGATATATATGAATATGAAAGTTTGAAGTTCATATAATTTAGTAATAAAAATTGCCAATTTATGTGAATTTTAAAGTTACATTGAGCTTTACAATGATTGTGCTGTTTAAGAGGTCATTATATCATGTTTTGATTATGCTTCAATTCAATTTTTGTATGAAACAAGTTTTAAAAACAATTTTTGAAATGTTGACCAGACAATTTAATCCAGTAACAAATCTATATTTATGATACATTTATGTAAGAAAACAGATTATTTGATAAATATTGTAGAATCCAGTTTGTTACTCAGTGCATTAAAGGTCTGACTAGCTACCCTTCAAGGTGCTGCTTTGCAACTTTGCTAAGTGCTGTGGAGAAGCCTTAATCTCACTATACTCCGACTTCTGTGCTCTACTAAAGTGCTAAGAAATGCAAGCAAACCTTATATTTTTAGAAAAATGTAAGGTTTTGAAGATAGGAAGCAGAAGGGCAGTGAGAATTAGACTATTCCGTAGTGCATAGTAGTACTAAAGATCAGTATCTTAAGGCAAGCTAATCTGAATTTTAAACCCTTTATCATTGAAACAAAGCATTTGAAGGGCTGTGTTTATAGGATATTTTTTGACCTCCTGGGCCTATAGAACAGCTTTAAAAATATTGTAACTTCCTTGCAGAATACCCTGTGTATTAATCAAATCATATTACTATATTAATATACATATATATTATGTATCATCAGCCTGATAATGCTGTTTGAATAGTATCTTTTAATAAAATTCTTATTAAAATTTAATTGGTTCAAAAGTGCAGTATCTTCATTTATGTGTACTGTAATATAACTAACTTTGAATTATGTATAAATCAATTTAATATTGTCATATAATTCAATCCCTTAATTAAATTATCATCAATCAACAGTTATAATGAATTATTCCTTTATTTTTTTATAAGTTTTAAAATAATTTTTTGTTTAGTTTGTTTTAAAATTTTTATTTATTTTTAAACTTGAACAATTATTTTCTTCATATTTTTTGAAAAATATGATGAAAATGATCGATTTTTCATTAGTCAAAGTCATTTATGTTTTAAAAAGTAAATGATTTAATTAATTTTAAATATTTGATTATAGAAAATATATTTTATATTAGTTAATTGGCAATTTATTATATCAAGAATGTAAATAAAATTTTTTTTAGAATGGCAATGACTGGAGTGCTTCCAAAAACATTTCGAAAGTTAATGGTGGTGAAAAAGTCCATAGATTTTCGAGAAGCAGTTTCAATCGTAACCACACCAATGCCTACTTTAAAAAACAATGAAATTCTTGTGCAAAATAGATATGTGGGAATAAATGCTTCTGACATTATTAGATCAGCAGGAAAATACAACCTCAGTGAAACTGTTCCATTTGAAGTAGGATTTGAAGGAATTGGCAAGATTGTTGCTGTTGGAAATGATGTTAAAAAGTATAAAGTATGTATTAATCAAAAACTTTTAAGTAAAAATAATAATAAACTTATTTTTTTATTATCAATTATTTAACATTGAATTTATGAGAAATAAAATCCACACTTTACAGAAAGACATCTGTTCTACAATTCTAATTTTATGAGATTTATAAATCATTTTTATAAATTTGGCATATTTAAATTTCCTAAAAGTTGTAAAAGAAAGAAAGAATTAAAATAATTCTTTCTATTTGGAAACAACTAAATAGTAAACAAACTGTTTAATTTTAAGTGTAAATTTTTCAGTATAACTCATATTTATTTTTTACATGTTCAGTTTTTCTTTTGTTTATTGTATTATGTTATTTCTGTCTACACACCATTGTAAAAGTTAATAAACTATCTTATGAAAAAATAGTCTTTTTTCATAAGATAGTTTAACTTTTTCAATTTCCATTAACTTTTTCAATATCAAAGATAGTTTTTTCATTTTAAAAATCCTGCATTTGAACCTTTGCATCCTCATCTTTATCTTAATTTCTGCCTGGTCACTTTAGTGCACCATGTGTCCAAATAAATTTCAATTTGCAGAACACTAGTATGTGTGGATTATTATTGGGCAATTCCAAATTATTGGTTACTTCTCAGGAGATGCTGGATTAACAAATGGCTAATATATTTTACTTAGTATACAGAGGTGATTATTTTACTACTAACAACATTTTTTTTCAGGTATTCTAGCAAATTATAAATTATTTATAATTTCTTTAAGGAAATACTCAGTGGTGTAGCGTAGTGGGGGCGGCAGGGGCAGCCCGCCCCAGGCAGCACTTTTAGGGGGCAGCAAAATTTCACAATAAATAAATAATATCTTGTAAAAATTTAAACCATTTCATTTCATATTTTTGTCGCACCTATGATTCAGACCGATTGAAATGAGCACAAAATTTTTCATTACTTATTCTATGACAGAACTGAATTTTAGTCTTTTAAATTGAGATACCTAAATAAGGGGGTGGTGAAATTTTCCTCCTCCCCAGGCGGCTGACATCCATGCTATGCCACTGGAAATACTTTTACTATTTCAGAAGGTATATTTAGGTATCTGGTAAGCTATAATGTTTATAGAAGCTCCAAAGAGTTTGTATGTCAGCATATGCACAAACATATGCACCTTTTGTGAGGGGTATGCTAATGATACAATTTTTGCTACAGTTGGTACAGTAGATCCCCCTATAAGACGGTAGATACGTTCCGTTCTTTATGAATCAATTTTGTAGGAATCATAGTTTACGGACTACGGCTGTTTGAAAGGTTTTCTTTCATAAAATTAATCGATTCTAGACTAATTCGACTCAACATTTCCAAAATACGTATATTTTTTTTAAAATAATCCGTATAAACTACGTTATAAACAAAAAATTGTAGGATTACTTACCGAGTGTGTACCCTTTGACTACGCTCGTTGCTAAAGCTTGGTTTCGTCGCGGAACAGCGCATCAAATTGCGGCCGCGATTTCTGATATTATTTTTCTGCGAAAACTTCGTTGACCTTTGGAGACATCATTAATATAAATAATTTTTATGGCCGTTAAATAAGAAATGTTTCTTTCACAAGAAATGTATAAAATTACAGTACTAAACAGACGATAGGTCGCCTAACTCGCCGTAGCGTGACGCTAGACGGCGAAAAATATATATTTAATTATAATAAAGTTACAATAAATTAAGTTAATATATAATTATATATACAGTACCTAATTTATATATAATTAATATATAATTATATGTACAGTACCTAATTTATATATAATTTATATAATACTGTCCAGACGATAGAAATCTCTCCGTAGCGTGGCGCTACGGACGGCGGGAAAGTAGTTCGGCTGCCCGATGACGTTTTACGTATTATAGGAGTTATTTTTACCGTTGTTTACGGATACTGCCACAATTTTTATAGGAATCATAACTATAGGAAACGGTTTTATAGGGGGATCTACTGTATTTTAGTGTAAATACTTCTTTTCCCTTCAGTCATCTGGTGGTAAAAATATGAAAGATATATCAAATTTTGAAAAAGAGCTTATTCAAAATTCAAAAAAAATATTTAATATTTCTGTAACACACCTGAGACATTATTGCAACACACAAGTATGTCACAGCATACAGGTTGGGGAACACTGCATTAGTAATATTTGTAACCTACAACTTGCCATTAGTTATAATCTGAATTATAACTGATGTCAAAATTATATACTAACAGATAATTATATATTAATATTAAAACTAGCATATTATATGAAAGATATTTGTTTTAAGTTAAAAATTATTTATTTTACATTATACACATTTAAAAGTTTTAATTCAAATCCCAATAAGCAAAAATAAAATACTGTAAATTATTAATTAGTTAAGAAAAAAATTAAATGTATTCATTTAAATTATTTAATAATAAATATATTTTATTATAATTACAGAAAGATGATTATATTTTATATATACAATCTGGAGCATATTCGGAATATATTGTGCTTCCAGAGAATGAAGAGTCTGAAGAACTTCCGATATCAAGTACTCTAAGAGAACCTAAACCTGAATATATAGCAATAGCTGGAGCAAGTGGTTTGACAGCAAAACTTTCTCTTGACAAATGTGGAGAGATGAAAACAGGAGAAACTGTTCTCATCACTGCAGCTGCAGGTGGAACTGGACACACAGCAGTTCTTCTTGCCAAACAGAAAAATTGTCATGTAATAGGTACATGCTCTACAAAAGAAAAAGCATCATTCTTAAAAGCACTAGGATGTGACAGAGTTGTTATTACTAAAGAAGAAAAATTACAAGATGTATTAACTTCAGAATATCCCAATGGTGTTGATGTTGTATTTGAAAGTATAGGAGGAGAATTTTTTACTGCTGCTTTATCATCATTGGCAGTTGGTGGCCGTCTCATTATAATTGGATTTATATCAGGTTATAAATCAGGAAATATTCCAGAAATAAATTTGCAAAATTTACCTCAAATACTACTAGCTAAATCAGCTAGTGTGCGTGGATTTTATTTATTTCATTATTTTAAGTATACACGCGAAGCTATGAAAGAGTTATTACATGAATTTGAAGATAAAATAGATAAAATCCACATGGATGATGGCAAGAAAACAGGCAAAGAATTTATTGGACTTGAAGGCATAATTGATGGAGTGGAATATTTGCATTCAACCAAGAGTTATGGCAAGATATTTGTAAGTTTGTAAAATTTGAAGATACTGCATGTATTTTTTATTCTAATAATGTAAACAAGAAATAAATGAAATTTACTAATTTGGATAACTGGAAAATTTGAACTTTTTTGTATGCTAGAATTGAATGAACACTGAATAAATAACATTTGATTTTGTTTGTATATTACAGTAGAATCTGCTTACTGTAATCATGGATATTATCATTGATTATCTAATGTTATCAAATCAACACCGTACTTATCTATAACTGAAATACTAATTACTACATATCATTATCTTCAGATAAACATGCAAATAAACTGTGTTTTGCAGCATCAGTGTCAATATGATTGATAATGTGTAATCATTATCAGTTATTGTGATCAGTTTAACCAGTTCTCTAAATGCTAAATGTTAATTGTTTCAATTGTTATTTTCTCAAAACACAGTAACTTAAAGTATTGGTATTTCTTACTTCAGCTATATGCTAACTATCATTAATATTAGAGTGCATAAAGCAGCAAGAACACAAACTAGATGAATTACTTTTAATTAATAATGAAGATTTATTAATTATAATTATGTTATACATATATTTAATTGTTTTAAGTGCAGTAGACACAGTCCACTACTACTAGTCTTATTTACTTAGGTAATTTTGGTGATTTACTTATGGTAATTATCAGTTGGTTATTACCAGTGTAAGAAAATCCCAAAGTGATTACGTAAATGCATTGTATTTTAGTTACATTTAATATAACTACAGTTTCTGTATATCTTTGAAACTGACAGAAATTATTGTGATCAAAATCAGAAATTAATTGAAGAACAGTCTGAAATTTTACTTTTCTGTAAATATTCTTTAATATTAGATTAAAAGATTATTTTTCTGATAAGTTATGACATTAATTAAGTTTAGAAGTGTTTATTATATCCTAAAAAAGCTTAAATATTTATATATATTCAATATATAATACATACGTCAATTATACATACATATATATACAATAGTATACAAAAACTTATATATAAAAACATATACAAATATTTTTTACATATAAGTTTTTGTATTTGTATTAAAATATTTTATTCAAATATAATAGAAGTATCTGATATAAAACTTTCCAAATTTATAATGAGATAAACTTTTTCTTTAATATAAGAAATATTCTTTTAAATCAGTAAAAGTATGGAGACAAGATATGTAGGAAGAAAGATAAGGGCATGTCTTGCCTTATGGGCATCTTAGTGACCATAGGGCAAAAAGAGTTTTAAAAAACCAGAAAGTAAAATCTTTAAGTCTGTTATTAATATGTAAATTTTCGACTATAAATTAGACTATCTTCTATTATCAGGACTTATTATACTGGTTTTACAGATAATATTACAAAGTCTGTGTTTTATTAATAAAGAAACATTTTACACAGCATTTGTTTGAAAAAAAAGAAAGAAAAAAATTGCTAAAAGAGCCCACTAACTTGTAAGAGGAAAAAGGATCTGCTCTACTTTCAACTCATGATGGCTCTTGATGGCCCTGACTGTTGATGTTTTAACTATGTAATATTGTTACATAGTTAATTTATTTATTTTATTGTGTTTATTGTGTGTTTATTGTGTAGTTGAAATAGTTGAAACTGGGGGACCAAAACACAAAGGCTATTTGCCTTTGTGATTTGGTACCCCAGTGATGTTGCTTGTTGCAAGCTCCAACATTGGTAATGAAAAGTTATATTTTGATTATTAATTAGTGAAAACTTAACTCAAATAAACCTCAGAAGAACATGTTGAATGTTTAAACTTTATCATCAGTCTGAGATAAGCTATTGATTGTTTATAAATTCAATCTTTCAATCTTGAAGATTGAATTTACAAACAATTGCATTTCTACAGCAGTTAGGTTATCAGCTGAGTAAAGTAGATTAAAATATAATTATTAATGGAATGAATAAACTTGCCTCTAAGTTTTACATTATGTGAATAAATTCTCATTGTAATTTTAAATACTTATGATTGAATTTAAATTTTCTTAAAAGTTTCATTTGTCTTTAATGAGTTAGATTGGAGCTAGTGGGCTGTGTGGTTGGTGTCAATTTTACTCTTTGTCATGGGCGTAGCGAGGGGGGGCCTGGGTGGGCACAGCCCCTCCCAGGGAACCTGGTGCCCTCCCCAGGAAATCACAGCCGAAAAAGTGTTGAGTCGATTTGTAAAAACCTAAAGCTAAAATAAAAGTTTTGAATACTAAAAAAAGGTGAACGACATGCTCGGTGCCCAATAATGAACAATAATTTGAAATAATTCAATTTTGTGTCAGGTTGGCCTCCACTAGGCCCCCCCATAACAAAACTCTGGCTACGCCCATGCTCTTTGTAAATAGATTTGACAATGAAATATCACAAAAACTGTGGAGATTATCATTGAAAATTCACAATGTACCAGTTCAGATTTGAATTATTCCTCTGAGAGATATATTATACTATAACAGGAATAGTTCAAAAGGATGCCAATTTGTTATTCGTTATTCAAAAGTAATGTGAATCATTGCAGCAGAAATGCTAGTGATTTGGCTCGCATTACAACACAATTCATAAATCACAGAAAGGAGTAGAAATAGAACCTCGCTGTTCCTGACAGAACTTGGTTAAACCAGTCAGTTAAATTGAGTTCTGATTGCTCATAGGGTCATTTTCCAGTTATGGCTCTCTTCACCCTATGAACAGTAAGAGTCTTTTCTATACCTGTTATGGTATAGAAAATAAGAAAAGAACTATGAGCATCTGGCCACTCCATATGTGGGCTTGGCCCACAATGGAGTGGCCAGATGCTCATAGTTCATTTTTTAACTCTCCATCCTGTGGCACTAAGATGGCCTTTTTAGTGAGCACATTTTGGATACGACTAGGCCCACAATGAGATGGCTAGATGATAAGGGATGGGGCCTGATGTATCTGGACGGATAGTTTCCTCCAAAATATTCCTGGGGTTTTTGCCCCAACATCTGGATTCAATCTCAGATCCCGGGGCAGTAGGCTGCCACCTTAGCTGCTCGGCCATCTGCTTATAAGCTCCCCACGTTTACTAAAAACTTCTAGGAAACAAACTTTTAAAATTATGAATCAAATTTAATAGTAAGTATAATCATAATTAGGCATAAATTGTTAGCATCCAATGTAGTGCATTTACAATAACATTTAAATATTTCATAAAATATTGATTTAGAAAATATTGTTATTTTTGAAAAATTGATTGATAATAAAAAAATTCAATTATTACATTAAAAAAGTAAGCAAATCAAATAAATTTTCTAAATCTAAAAGAAAAAAAATGAAGGCTGCAGAAAATGTCTTTGAATTATGTAACTTGCATCATGCATAGATGTCATATAGAGACTTCTTGATTTGTATTATGTCAAAAAGTCCAAGTTGAAGTCCCGTGTTGTGTGATTTAAACAATAGTATGTGCAATAGATGTGTGTTTGGAACAAGATACCATGATCCAGATGATCTGTGAAGTAACATTTTATTTTAAAGGAAAAGTAAGATATTGGGGACTATATATTTGGTTTGGGGATGCGGTAGGAACTACTTTATTAGCTCATGGGGAGATTGGGATGCCTTGATTATTGATGATTGTGTTGTAACAAACTTATGGAATTGATAAAATATAAAATATAATGGTACTTATGGGTTAAGAGGACGCGGTTAATGTTCAGGGTCGTAGACCATCATGGCGGCTCTTCCTGTTTTAGCCTCGAAACCGGACCGCTTTGGAGACGACGTGTCACGTGACGACGCGAGCGAACGGCGGAGGCGGCTTCTGCGCCGCGATAAACGGGGAAAACCGACGCGCGGGTTAACGTCCATATACGTAGACTCATGGCGGCTCATCTCTGATTTCGCAAAAAGAAAAGGATACAGTGGGGACGCACGTTCTAACCTAACCTAACCTATTCT